CCCCAAAACCCCAAAACCCCAAAACCCCAAAACCCCAAAACCCCATTGTATCATTATATTATTGAATAAATCTAAATGAATGATGCAAGAGTAGTCGTTAACGAGTATGGTTATTTCAGTCTAATTTTTACTCCATCATGATATAACCCAGGATTTGCCTCAACCCTGAAGAGGATATACGAGGTGTAAACCTGTTCAACCCTGTTATTCCTCTTCTCAGCCTTATGAGAATCTACTTCGGGGTTTTATTCATGAAGTCATGCTCTTGTTGAGTTATTCGCATTTACAAACTTTATAGCATTGGAAGCACAATTCAAGAATTAATGGATATCGAAGAAGTAGTCACAGAGAAGTAAGCTGAGCTATAACCCACAGAATAACGAAGGCCATAACCCGGCTGGAGGAGATTCGGTCAAAATTTAATCAAGATCAGCAAGATATTAAAGGTATTCTGCCTTAGTTATCTCTAGTTGATGTGAATATCAAGAAGATACTCTTGAAAACTAGCTCTGCGAATAAGCCTTCCTTCCAGTTGGAAGAAGCTAAGGAACCCCAAGCGAAGGAAATCATCGAAATAACTTCTGATTCTTCTGAAGAGCTTACACTAGTGGTATGTTCTGAATAAATTTTGATGAATAATCCTTGTAGAAGCAAGAAGCTGCTAAAAAATTAGTTAAGCATGAGGACCAGAGCTGATCTCTGAATCCTGAGTCTCTTCATGGCCAGCCTGAGACTGCCAGTCAGCAACAAGATGACATTGACTTATGAGTCGGTAAGAGTTTGTTTGTTAGTATTCAGAGTTGTCTGATAAGCCAGCCCGATCTCTTAGAGATAGCTGTAATGAGTCTTGCGCAAGCGAGGAAAAGTCCCAACCGATAGATGATATTAATATATCACCTCACAAGGTTCTGTCAAATCCAATGAAAATTTCAGAGGTTAATGAGATTGGTAGTCACACATTTTTCAATAACTTCAATGCTTTCAGATCAGAATCTCCTTCAGATAAGACAAAGAACACATCTTTGATGGAAGAAACCAAAGCTAATGAGTACTCAGGCCCAGCTACGACTCCTAACCTCTCGAAGAAAGGAGGAAAGTCATCTAAAGAGAAAGTTAAGTCATCCAGGACTAGCTTTCCCTGAAATGAAGTGTAATTTTTGCTAAATTTAATCCTTAAGTTTAGACAAACAGGCTGATAAAGGCAAAAAGACTACTCCCAATGTAGCATCTCCAGCAGCCCCTAAATTGGTTGGACTTGGGGCAATAGAGGAGCCTCAAGTTCAAAAGCATTTCTCTAGCATAACTCAAGAAGTAGCCAAAGATGAGGAAATTAGAATTGACCCAAACTTACTTCATGCCTTAATCGGGGATACCGAACCTTCTCTTCAAAAGAAAAAATATTACAAAAAGAAGAGGCCATCGAATAAGAGAAACAATCCTCCTTCTTCTGAAAAGCCAAATGAGTCTGCAAATAGCCCAACTGATACATCTAAGGAGGAGCAAAAATCTCAGAGCAAGGGCAAAAATTCAAAGAGTACTGAAGCGACTAGGAATGTGTAAGCTTAGGTTTAATTTTAGGTACCTTAGGAGGAACGAGAAATTCACCAGGAATCAAATGAGTACGCTTCTTATTAATCTTCCTTTAGGATTTTATGACCAACAGGAGCTCCATAAGGCAGTCACTAGTACTCAGAAGGTTAAGAAAAAGGCCAGAACCAAAAACCATATCTGATTTAGTAATTTAGACAAATAGCGAGCTAGTAGCCTCCTGGTTTTATTTATAGGAAACCCTTCATCGGTTCAGCTGGGTTTTTAGGTATGAAATCTCACAGAATTATGATCCAGAATTGACAGATTATTTGGTGGTTCGTGATAACGCACTGAAGGAGAATTTTGTCGGAAAGAATTTCTATAAAGCTCTTTGAGATCATGTGCCTATTATAAAGTTTGGATGTAAGTCCCAAATTTTAGACTTAAAAATGTAGGGATCGCCGAAAGTGTCAAGAACCTGAGAAGAGCAGCTTATGGAAAGTACAAAGTATTTCAAACAAGGGAAAGAGCCCAAGTAAGGCACTTATAACAATCCTAGGCAATGCTAAATCACATGATATTCACTAATTCTTCTTTGCCGAATCCATTCACTGTGAATAAACTAAATGAATAATTTTAGGCTATCTGGAGCTCTAAGGGGTTTTGGGGTTTTGGGGTTTTGGGG